CAAGCACTAAAAACGACATCAACCCATATTAACTTTGCAGCTGAGTTCAATCTGACCTGCTGTTCTCATGTCAAGTGCTTGACTGTGATCAGACCTGCGGACTGCATGCTTTATTTACCATTAGATGGGACACAGCTGTCTGCGGTAAAACTGTGCTCATTTATGAGCACCAAGGCAGGATGCTTATCTTCCCAAAGCTTTTTAGTGCAGGTATGGTTCCTTTCAAACAGAGACAATTCATATATCAGCTCAGATGGAGGAAATCACAAATGATCTACTAAAAGAGCATGTCAAGCCAATACGGCCAAATTAACAGTTCATAATACTCAGTCAGGGTGATAGCAGATACTGTAGACACTTATGATTAGAAAAGTATTACTGTCTCATTAGGGATGTTCATGACAGTTAAAACAGGATTAGCCTATACTAGGGCTGCATGATTATGACAAAAATCATAATTGTCGATTATTCCCTTGAAATTGTAATTGCGATTATTAATTACGATTATCACAATTTACATTGACTCAAAATAAAAACTGAACTGCATATAAACATATAAATTGCATATAAGGCAGTTATATATTAATTTTGTATGTTATTCTACTCCAATTCCATTTTGAAATAAACATTTAAATGGTGGCTATAATGAAAACTTGCTTTCATGACAGATTCAAACATTGCCTACATTAATGAATGCAACAAAATTCTCTCCTGAATTTTAATTGCTATGTATTGTTTGGCCATCCTTGAACCCCTGGCTCTTTTCCTTGGCATATGTTTTTTCACTTCTGTATTCCCTAAGCAAGTGTTTAATAAAAAAATAAAAAATAAACCTGATCTGTCATGTCAATTTAAAGCATGCCAAAACGATATATGAACCCTAACCCTAACAGAATATGAAATCATATATCAAATGTAGCAATGTATAAAGATTATTGAGATTACTGGATATTAAGCCTGCTACAAATTATGTTTAACGAAGTTTTGCTCATGCTGAAAAGACTAAAAGATATCTGTTCATCAAAATGAAGATCTATTAAAAACGAGAAATGTATTGAGTTTATGCAATTTCATTACATCGCTATTACATACACATGTAAAGCTGCTGCACTGCATCACTTCATAGTTAATACAGTGACATCTAGTCACCTGATGCCCATTCAAAGCATCAACCATTTGCCAATCCAGCCACAAAGGTTACCATAAAACCTCTCTGTCCTGTACTTTCCATCTCAGAGCCCTCAGCCATCAGAGGTCACTAAGAGGAGTCAGTCCTTTGTGTTGTGATGGACATGCACTGGACAAAGCAGCAGGTTAACAGCTCATACAATCAGCTAGTCTTAACTGTCTCTAACTCAATGACCCAATACCACTCAGATGGGATACACTCCCTAGAGACACGTGACAATGACAAATCTAGCATACTGAATGGAAATCATTAACCAAGATGATCTGCACAATCAAAGACTCAAGTGCTAATGGCTTTGAGCAGTGTAACACCAACTTAAGATGTGAACACAGAAATACAGCAAACAGCTTTGATACAGACATCACTCAAGGCTAATAAATTCCCATGATAACTTGCTTGTCTAAATAAGTATGGATTTTTGTTTTGTTTTTTTATGACCGACCATAAAAATCTATAGTTGGCATGAGACTAATGGGATAGAATCACTTACTGTCCTTGTCTGAGCAGGACTGTTGCTAAAATATACAGGGCCTGAAAATGTAGTTTTAAGTAACAGCTGCAGATGGGACACAAAACCCCCCCACAAAAATCAGTAAATAATATATAGAGAACAGGGCAGACCATACAATCATTCTAATATGGAAAAATGTCACTTAATACTGTAAAAGAAGAGCGAGAAAATAAACATAAAATATTATAACATAAATTATTAAAAATAAATAATTACAAAATTCAATTAAAATCTGAAAAATCTAAAACTAGTACAGACAAATACATACCATAAAAGATAACATTTATTTACCTAATCTGTCATAGACTTACTACAGCTTAAAGTCTCTTTTTATTTTAATATTGTTTTCAAATTTAAACTTTAATGTGATTGAACCTGAAACATGCCATCTTGTGCAGGACTTGTTCTGGATCTGAAGGTTTCTGCTGTCTGTGATCATCAGACATCTCTGATCCTGCCAGAGCTTTTGCAGCTATTGGCACTGACAAAAGTTTAACAACAAAACCCTTTCTTGATACCCGAGTTTCTACTGGCACTGCTCGGTTTTATGTAACAGATGATAATAAAGCGGTGAAGTGGAGAAATGGAGATCTGGTTTGCCAGAACCCCAGCAAACCAGATGAATACTGTCTTCATACTGTATTTGTAAGCTTGAAAGCTTTTTACCATGACCCTATATGAGCATATATGTCCTAACTCTAACCATTCAGCAGAAGAACATGGTCAAGAGTGATTCTTCAATCGCTAGGACAAAACAAGGAGTAAAAGTGCCAGTCTGTCTGTGGAAGCTCATTAATAATTAGTTACAGAAAAGACTTTTGCACACACTGACAAAAATTATCTATATTGCTATCAAAAGCACAGTGATATGCAATAAATATCTGTATTTCTGATCACGTCCATCCATCAAAATCCATCTTTCTTGTGCAAATATTCAGCCACTTAAATGTAATTAATACACATTGTTTGCTAAACTACAGTTTCATTATTTTAAAGGGATACTCCACCCAAAAATGGAAATTCTGTCATTATTTACTCTCCCTCATGTCATTCCAAACCTATATGACTTTCTTTCTTCTGTGGAACACAAAGAAAGATATTTTGATGCATGTTGATGATAACCATAACCAACTCGTCTTCAACAAGGCCAAAAGGGCCCACATCACACCTCTCTTTATCTCCCTGCACTGGCTACCGGTTGCGTCTCGCATCAAGTTAAAGACATTGATGCTTGCGTATAGAACAGCCACGGGCTCAGCACCCTCCTACTTCCACTCACTCTAGAGGGGGTCTACATCCCCTCCAGAAGCCTGAGATCTACAGCATGTTGATGATAACCATAACCAACTCGTCTTCAACAAGGCCAAAAGGGCACACATCACACCTCTCTTTATCTCCCTGCACTGGCTACCGGTTGCGTCTCGCATCAAGTTAAAGACATTGATGCTTGCGTATAGAACAGCCACGGGCTCAGCACCCTCCTACTTCCACTCACTCTAGAGGGGGTCTACATCCCCTCCAGAAGCCTGAGATCTACAAGTGAGCGACGATTCGTGGTACCATCACAGAGAGGCACAAAATCGCTTTCCAGAACATTTTCGTTCACCGTTCCGGGCTGGTGGAATGGTCTTACCACCCCCATCCGGAATGCTGAATCCCTGACAATTTCCAAGCCACAACTGAAAGCTCATCTCTTTCATCAACATTTGACTGCATCCTAATTATAAAAAAAAAATTAAAAAAAACTTTGCATTGTCTTTCCTTTATCCCTCCCAGGCTTGTACTAATCTGAACAATGTCTGAAACTTTGTATTATGAGCACTTCCTGTGTTTATTTGCCTCTTTATGATGAATCGCTTGTTGTATTCCTCAATTGTAAGTCACTTTGGATAAAAGCATCTGCTAATTGAATAAATGTAAATGTAAATGCATACTGTGACGAGCGTCCCGAAGCTTCATCAGCGTCGCCCTGGAAACAAGCGAGGAGCACCTGGCCATCATCATCACAGGCTGATCGGTCACAGCTGCACCTCATCAGGCGGCGGCTACATAAACCACGCAAGCCCTGCCATCTAGGAGATTCCTCCATGAGACTGAGGCTCTAACTCGCCCTCTCACTTTTCCCACAGAAAGCAGCGTGTGACCGACCAGCCCCACAGGAGCACTGCACGGACCCTCTGCACTGGGAAGACGGAAGAGAGCACTCACGGCACCGGAGCACCTACCTGGACCTTTCTCACTAACACCCATCACCCCAATAAATCCACCCTCCGGGGTATTGATTGAGATTACTTGTCGTGTGATTCTTCACCCCGTTACAATACAGTTTCCATTCCCATTGACTTCCATTATATTTTTGACCATATAATAGAAGTCAATGGGAGCCGGAACTGTTTGGTTACCAACATTCTTAAAAATATCTGCTTTTATATTCCACAGAAGAAAGTCATACAGGTTTGGAATGACATGAGGGTGCGTAAACGATGACAGATGCCTACAGGCAACTGTCTAGTTCACTTATGCCTAGAAACAGCCCTGGTGATGACTTCACTTTTGGCGTGAATCCTGGTGCTAGTGTAGAAACGTCAGGCGTAAACCATTATTTAACTTCTAGACCTCCCATGATGGAAGCTGAAATTCCATTCCGGCTGAATCTTCACCACAGCAGGACTCAAAACAGGTGAATATCCGCCCCAGACATCCTGCAATAATGGGAACCTTGTGTTGCACTTTCACTCTCTAATGTCACATAAGCAGTGATGTCATTTCCTGCGGCCATCGCTGGCCTTCTGCAGTAAAAGCCCTGCCTGTAACGCCACACATTCTAATCGGGTTAATGATTACGTTTAATTAGAGGGGCAGACTGACTGGTCAGTGGGAGCAGCTGCCACCCCTCACAAACATCCATTAGCTCTCATCAGATGCTGGGACGGGCAGTGGAAGACACCCCCCAGGCGGTCCACCCTCCCCTGGACTGACCTCTGCAGATGAGCCCCTCATTCATTACAGTCTGTTTGCACACGCCGCATTGCTTCCCCTTCTTGAACGTCTTCAGCCGGAAGGTGTGGGAGTGAACGGCTTCAAACTCTTCAGGCTGCAGTGGAAAAGAAACAAGGAATATTATAGAGACACAACGCCACACATTCTAATCGGGTTAATGATTACGTTTCATTAGAGGGACAGACTGACTGGTCAGTGGGAGCAGCTGCCACCCCTCACAAACATCCATTAGCTCTCATCAGATGCTGGGACGGGCAGTGGAAGACACCCCCCAGGCGGTCCACCCTCCCCTGGACTGACCTCTGCAGATGAGCCCCTCATTGTTTACAGTCTGTTTGCACACGCCGCATTGCTTCCCCTTCTTGAACGTCTTCAGCCGGAAGGTGTGGGAGTGAACGGCTTCAAACTCTTCAGGCTGCAGTGGAAAAGAAACAAGGAATATTATAGAGACACAATAAGGACTCTTACTACTTACAACTACAGCAATACGATCAAAGAAAGAAAGAAAGAAAGAATAATACCAATCAAAGGAACTGTCATTTCAAACAAACAGCCAATGAAGTCTAATGCAACAATTAAAATACTGTAAAAATCTACTTAAAAATAATCAAGACATGTTTTCCACACTACGTAATCACAAGGAAGAATAATATTTAATATTTTGCAGCAATATAACAATATAATTGAGTGATATGCAGCAATATAAACAATAACATTAATAAACAGCAACATGTACCTGATTTTGTTTTCATAAAACATTGTAATATATGAAAAATATGCTCTGTAAACGCATTTAAGTCATGACACAAAACAAAACGTTTTGAATCAATTAACTAAAATGGACAGTTTGAACCAATTCATGAAGTATAAAAATATAAAATGTCTATTGTAAATTAATGGCCAAAAAAGTACAATAAAACCAATATATATTTAATTTAATTAATTAATATAATGATATATAATATATATATATATATATATATATATATATCTTGTCATTTGCACTTATATATTGCTGCTCTTTTGTTAGTTTTGACTGCTTTTATTGTCCTCATTTGTAAGTCGCTTTGGATA